GACGCTTTTTAGACCTCAATTACAATTTCTAAATTTATGAATTGATATATAAATTTAATACTTCTTAGGGAAAGACGAGGGCTGAGTTACAAAGAAACAACAAAAAACAAAAACACATTCATTAATCAAAAGTCTTTTTATAGTGCATGTGATCCATCATCGGCTCCGGAAACTGAAGTAAAAATGAGAAAAATGTGTCAGTAAGTAAATATTCTTTTTTTTTATCCAGTCATTTTCATGAACTCGCTTGGTTGTGTATTTTCTACAACTAACTTTGTTTCGTTGTATTTTCTGTAACGAGATTGCTTTAAAAAAGCTATTTTTAGTTCTTTTTCTATGGTTCAATTTTATTAATATTTTTCAATTTATGAATAAATGATTTCTTAAAATAATAAAATATTTTGGAATTGTCCTCTCACTGGAGAGTAGAGTGATGTTTTATGTTTTTTACAAGTGGATCTAGTTTAAAAATTTCATGGATTTAGATAAACTTTTCACAAAAAAGGTCAAAGGTCAGCCGCTTATCAGGCAATATTACGAAACGATGTCAAATACAAAGTTCTGGAAAATAACAAATGATTTAATTTTAACGAAAAGAAAACGTTAAGGATATAAAATGTTTCTGTTTCTTTAAAAAAAGAACCAGATGACCAAAATATTAGAACAAAATGAAATATGCATATAACGTTTCTACGATGAAAAGTTAAAATATTGTGGAGAAGTTTGTGCACCTTATTGGATCCTTCTATTTGTTTATTTTATGTCAGCCATTTTCTTTTTGCGAAAACTTTTAGATGGGTTTTTACAATTATGCCTTGCCTTAATAAAATTATATTTCATATATATATTTTTTTCTGTAACTTTCAGTATTGTATATCATTAGAATTTTGTGCTATGAGCAGTTTATAGTTATCAGGTAGAGCAAAAAATGTATAATAAAAATAAAACTCCCCTGAACATTCATGTTTAAACTCACTATGATGAGGAAGACCCACATATACACCTCTGTTAACTGAATAAAGTGAAATGATGAGGTAGACCCACACAGACACCTCTGTTAAGTGAATAAAGTGAAATGATGAGGTAGACCCACACAGACACATCTGTTAACTGAATAAAGTGAAATGATGAGGTAGATGTAGATCACTAAGTGGATCCTTCTGTAACTTGTATACGTTTGTTTGTTTGTAATTAAGCACAAAGCTGTACAATGGGGCTATCTGTGCTCTGCCCACCACGGGTATCGAAACCCGGATTCTAGCGTTGTAAGTCCATAGACATACCGCTGTGCCACTGGGGGGCAACTTGTATACGTAATGCAGTATGACACGAAACACTGATTAACATTATTTGGTTTATTTATTAAAACGCCTGATTTAGACAGCGATGTTTTTAAATGAGCTATTGTGTGCACTAACAAAACTAGCCTATAGCTTTTTTAAAATAGTTTACAATGTCATTTTTGAGAGATGAAACCGTATATCTGTCTACTTGAATTATATACAGGCTTTCTGTGTTTAATGAAAGGTATTAGAAGCAGTATCGATTAGATAGAACATTACCTGAACCTTCAAGGCTAATCGCTATTGATTCACTCAAAATTAACAGATTCAAAATTTAAAGATTCTCTACAATAGTATAAAAATGATTGGACGCCTTTTTGGCACTAGATTCTCACTGGTATTTTTACCCATGAAATTTGAAATTGCTACAGTTAATATAATCGGTTTTTTATTCCAATTTTTGTAACATTTACATTGTGTGTGCCTTCCTAAAGAATCTGTTGTTTTTTTCATTCCAATACGATCTTCAGTTTCTAAAATTCTTAAGTTAGTAGATGTAAAGTTGGTTTATTTACATTTTAATATATTGTTGAGGCATTAAACCGTCAAACGAGAAGCTAAAATTGAACAATTTGCTATTTTTGATCAATCTTGATTAACATGTTTAGCTTTAGATGTGTTTGTTTGTTTCGGATATTTGCGAAAAGATACACGAGGGCTATTTGTTTTAACCATCTGTTATATTGAATTGATACACTAGACTGACTAGAGGGAAGGCAACTGGTCAACAGCATCCATAGCCAGTCCTTTGGCTACTCTAATTACGCTAACCACTAGGCAATGCTGCCCAAGAAAAGTTTGAGAAAGTCGTTTGTTTGTTTCAGCATTTCGTGAAAAACTACACAAGGGATGTCTTATTATATTCATCCCCAATCTTAAACTGATAGGCTAGCGAGAAGAAGCTAGAAGCGGCAACCACCGCCAACGTTTTGGTTACTTTTGTAGTGCATCCACGACCCACAAAGTGCGGAACGCTTTTATGTGGCAGGGGTCGAGAAAACCATGAATCACGGGTTTCACAGTTAGGGTAAGCTAAACGCTTATTCAGCCCGACCCTTGAGAAAGTTGAGCGTGTAAGATTTATATAGTGAATATTTAAAATAATGCCTATTGTAAGAGACCTGAACCAGTATTTGAACCCTAACCTGTGTATATGATAGTAAGTCAATTGGTTTTAAATACCACAATATTTTTCCTTTGAAGTATTTTGTTGTTAGCTCAAGTTTCAGTAGTTTTAGCAATCAACAATATTCCTTTCGTTTGTATTATCATTACACGTTTAGCAGCTGAATTTTGGCTCAATGACAAGTCTGCAGGCTTCCAACTCTTAAAAACTGGGTTTCGACACGGGTGGTGAGCGGAGCATAAATAGCCAATTGTGTAGCTTTGCGCTTAACAACAATAAAGCCAAAGACTTTGAGAGTTAAATTATTTTAGAGCGAAACGCAAAAAAAAGTGAAAAAGGAAAGATAAATTTTATATTTAAGAAATTTTCGTACTTCACAGCTTTGGGTGTAGTTTTCAACTGAACATCAATTAGTTGAAAACGTTTTTAATTATTTTTCTGCTATAGTGAAGGTTTCTTTAAAAGAAAAGTTCAATTAAAATGCCGGTTTAAGTGTAGAAAATTAAAATGAGGCGCTTTAATAAAAAACTTTCTAATTCATTACTCATAATGTCGATTGATCACTTACAGTGTATTAGTAAGAAACTTCTTAAACCATTCTTGTTCTGATTGTTGAGTTTGGACGTTCGCTAGAAGAAAAAAAAGAGGATCCACTAATTGTTAAACATTGTTGTTTACATTTTGAAGAGATAAAGTCATCTAATGTCATACAGGATTATAATAAGTCACTGGTGGGGAGGGGGGATTTAAGAGAATCTTACTTGCTGGCCACTAGAGAACTATATTAAAATAAGAACGATAAGTTTATTATGTAAATGCGAGATTAGAACCACTGATTTTTGAAAAACCTTTTTACTTGATCAAATATATTCTCTCTTAAGTTTTTTATGTCCATTTATGGAGAATACATTTTAAGCTATATGTATATGCGTATGCATTCAGTTGAATGTTTACATGTGTTTCAACAGTTTACTGCTGCATTGGCTTTTTATTTTTTCACCCAACCATTAATTACTGAGCCAGGGGGTTTTGTGCCTGAGGTTTCGTGTAAACACGCGTTTAACAAGCCAAGAACGAAAATCAGTAGAATAAATCACCACTCACAAGAGTAAAGAAATCTTATATGATTATCGTTTACTGTCGCAGAAAACAGGGTAAAGACAAAGTACAACAGCGAATTCCAGGAACAATAAAAAATAGCGAGTTCGAGAAATGATGAATCCTCAAAGTGGCAGTTTCCAATTAAAGCGCTCTAAGTTGCACAAATTACTTTCCAATTAATGCATATTAGTAAAACACCGGATTTTTTCAATGGTGGAAAATGAAGGACTTAGAGAAATTCTCCATGGCGAAAAAACAAAGGCGCTCAAGTTAATTTTAAAACTACCCTATGACATACTCAATACTGCATTCATTACTATTGTCCAGGTTTCAGTAAAATACTCGTAGCCATTTTTACTGTAGCGGCTTGTAAAACTATAATCAATAATGATAAGCCTGGAGACACTGTTGTAAACATATACATTGTTTACTCTAATAAAACGAAGCGTTTCCCAAAACGGAGAATTTACGACTAGTATAACCGTGCTTAAATGACTTCGAAGAGCTATGCTGGTAACGAAGAAGAAGTGTGGAAAGCTCGACTTTCAAGAATCAACTTAAAGATAGCCCTACAACGTTCGCAGGAGTTTGTTTGAGAGCTGTGCATAGATTTTGGCGCAGTAAACCTAGCCGTTTTTGCTGTAGGCTTCGGTGTTTGAATGGCTTCCAAGAAAAACTTTGCCAGTAATGATGAAAAAATTGATAAAACCTCTTCTTCTCTTTCAAGAATCAATATAAAAATAGTATTTGCACAGGAGTTTTTTCAGTAGATTTGCTCAGGTTTGAATAAAATATTCATAGCCATTTTTCTTGTATGCGTGTGGAACAATAATAATATGAATATTAGTAATATGAAGAACAAATTGATGAATTTTGAATTTTGTTTAACAATCAGAAAATCTAATTTTTTGCTATTATCAATATTTTAGCAACCTTAGCCATTTAGATAGAAGGTATTGAGTGCTGTTTCAAGAACAAGTATGTTTTTTAAGATGGTGTTTGCCCGTATATTCTATTTGAAATTATGTGAAATTCCTGGGCAAAACTTATTATGAACCACTATCGTGGTTTTAGTTATAAGTTTGAATTCGCAGGCCTGTGTTATATTTAAATTTTGTTGAATATTTGCTAAATTAATGAACTGACTATTAAATATCGCTGAAACTTCATTTGAAAGGATATCGTCAAATTCAAACCATACTGCGCCTTTCTCGATAATCAAAACTGGTTCTGAAATATCTTTCAGAAATCAAAGTGCAGTAATATTTACTTTACACTTTCTGTTCAATTATCCTGAAATTTCAAGAGAATTATCCCTAAGATTAAATCAAGTATTACTAGAAGACTAACAATAAAAATACACTTTCGATTGGATTCGATTCGCTTGTGTTTAATGATATTTTTCTTTAATAAAAACATATTATAATTTTTTAACATTTTCCTGAAGTTACACATCTGACGAAAAAAAACAACATTTGATTTGTGTATGTAATCAGAAAGTACCTACAGTATGAAGTAAACTTATCCTGCAGTAGAAACTTTGAAATGTCCATCTATCACACACACACACACATAAGTTGTAAGAATGGACTGAAGTTTTAACAACCAATCAGTATTTCGAAAATTTCTTTTAGATAGCGAACTACCAAAAATATAGAAACCTGTTGAATTACATTTTGACAAAACGCGTTAAAAACTACACATTTAGTGATGGCGAAAACTTTGAAAGTTGAAATTTTACACACGCAACTGGTGTGGGTAAGTTCGTAGAAAAAATAAACTATTACGCGAAAATCCATATCATGAACACCACTTAAACGGAATCAAGTTCGCATTATTTATCTCTGTAAATCAGGCTCATTTAGTAAATTATAAATAACTAACGAAATCAGTTTCTGAGTAAATAATAGTGTTCTACGATGTTCCCCGATTAAAGTGATATGTCGGCGAACATTTTGTAACAGTTAGTGGGGCGTTTTGAAATGTTTTATTAGAATCACTTATCCAATCTGATAATTATAAATTATCAGTCAATTTTTGAGTGAAAACTCTGAACCGAAGACACTTCACATTCTGACTGATGCTCAACCATGGCAGCTTTCATGACCCACGCTATATAACGAAATAGCTGACACCAGGCTTCTTCCATTTCTGTCGTCCAATGGTCTTCCAGCGATGGTTTGATGGCATGCACAAACTGGGGGCCTATCAGCTTCAGAACCATAAAAAAAAACATTGTGAAACATAAAATATGTAATATTGTGCTGTATTGTCTCAAAAAATAGCAAACAAACAAACTTACAAATATAGAGATTTTCTTTAACCTTCTTCTTATATTAAACTCGAGGAATCAGTTGGAAGTATTAGTTGGGTAACAATATCCAATCTTATTAGAACAACAGTTACAGGCATAATTTCATCCCTTTCATCCGTATGGAGTTGTGCCATAAAAGATCGATATCCGACCACATAAAAAGATTATTACACAAACTGAGGTTAAAGGTGCAAGGTCAGAATTTTATATCAGTAGTTTATTGCACCTTTGAAGGATCCAAAAATTAAAAATTATTAAAAGTAAAGCTTCTTTGATAAAACAGCAGACAAGCGTTGTGCTACAATTGCTTGCAGATCATCTAAATAATAGTACAGTATTCAATTGAACAACAGTTTAACATGGTTCTACTTGATGGACAGTGTCACCAGGATACCCCAGTTGCTGTCAGATTGTATGTCTAATGGTTCCCATATGAACGTCACCCTTCACATCAGATGACAGGAAACGTATCAACAGCTGTCTACTACAGGCTTTTTAAAATTATGATAAATAATTACAAACAACGTTTTGTAATTACACAATAAAGACTTCATTGAAGCCTGTGGTGCACATTTACTACAAGCTTATTTACTCATAAACCCGTGCAGCAGACCAATAATAGCAATCAGTATTGACAATAAAACCGCTATATTGGTAAATATCATCTTTGGGCAGCACTTTGAACACAACTATTGACTGTTCGCCATCATTTCGGAATACTTGTATTTGCCTCATCTGCATGTATGCCAATAACTGTTTTTGTTGAATGATTTTAGTTTAAAATATCTCATTTGTATTGTGCACACCGTTGCAGTTGACATGTTAGGATATTAATAAAAGTTTCAAAGTACATTATTTTGAATGACTTCAATGAACTTATCAAAAGATAAGCACACGACATCCCATTCCATACCACAACCAATTGCTTTTCCTTATCCATTTCCGAATTATTTGCTTGTCAATGAACTTCTGAATCATTTAGTATATCTACGGATCAAGGCAATGATACCTTTCAAGTAACTGAAAATAAAATGGCATGATGCAGTTTCAAGTGCGACTCAATAAGGCACTTAAGGAACAATTTATATACAAATATATTGCTTTCTCAGGAGCGTGGTGGAATATTCTAACTAATGAAAACTAACTAAAGATGGAATAGAAATAAATAAGAAAACAGAACCTAAAATAACTGAGAATGACATAAGAAATAAACTAAAATTATCTTAATATTATTGGAAAACAAACTGTAACAAATGAAATAGAACAATAACAAAACTACAGGGTGTACGAAAGGTCTGGAAACATATGCACTTCAACGAATATTACAGAGTGTGTTCCACATGCTGTCCTTATAATTTGGATTGTAATTTTGAAACAAATTTGGATTAAAAACAGGACTAATTGGACCATCTCATGCTTTGACAACGCCATATTCATTCATGTATCTGAAATTAAGAAAAGCTGCAAATCATAAATGGTTCCAGACTTTTCGGACACCCTGTAGAGTTCAAAATGACGTTATACATGACGTTATTAAAATCAGAGAAGCGTTGATGGACTACTGGTTTCGTCTAGGCCTAACATCACAAATCTTTGGGGAAAACAGTTTAAACATAAACTAACGAAATAAATATAACTGTTTTCACTTACGCGAATACTTCAGCAACTGTCACATAATGCCCGGAATTATATTTCTCTGGTGCATTTTTATTTGACATAGTGGACAAAGTTTTATCAAAATATCTAGCACACAACAAAAAAAACAAAAACATCTGCTTTTACGCCAAGCCACGCTAGATTACTTATAAAGAGGGTGAGATTTTCCTAAGTATGTTTAATTATGAATTTTCACGCCTTTCGGATCCAATTTCTACGCAAAAACATCATATAGAAAAAAAAGTTTGCCGATTCAGATTCATGGCATATAAATGCACCGACGAAATATTATACCGGAAATTTTTTAGTGTGAAAGTTGCCGAGGTATCCGTGTGAGTACAACTATCGGTCTAGAAGGCCTTAATTATTAACTGTCTTAAACAATAACTCTTCAGCTTCTCTTTCCCCAAGAGACCGAAATCTTAAGAAAAAGTCGAATTAACAAATGAATCTTTCTACTTTATCATGTTAAATGGGTAATAAAGAGATTTCTGAAGTGAAGAAATATAGAAAATTTGTTCTTCTAAATCTACTGTTCCAAAGCATTTTCGAAACAAGAATATTAGAACTGTTATAGGTATAGTGTAATAAATCCCCTAAAGTACGAATGCTTACAGTGCTCAAAAATAGATTGGAAATGGAGAGAATTGGACCAGAGGGCGTTAACCTAGGCAATTAAAATTATCAATGTTGGGTTATTAATGAATAAGGACATTATTAGAATAATAATAAGTGGAAAAATCCATTGTAACTTCATATAAATATCTAAATGATAGCTAATAACCAGGAAAAAAATAATTTTTTCAGGAATATTAAAATAATAACTAGTTTCTTTCATCTTCATCGGGATTCGGTCCATGTTTGGACCAGGGAGGGTCAGGTTCTGCGTTGACCTAAACCCCCAGTAAATGTTTTTGTTTGCTAGTTTTAGAATTTCGCGCAAATCTGCACAAGGGCTAGTTGCGCATGCGCATAACACTCACCGTTAACTCTGGTGTTTCTCTCGCCTAACCGAATAACGAGATTTTGTTATGACTCATACTTACACTTACTGCCTCAAAGTACAAAGCGCGTTTTTGCAGCAACGGCCTGCAAACCATGAACCCTCGGATTCACAGTATGAAAACGCTAACCACAAGGCCCATCAGTAAATGGAAAGTTATTTTGTTTGAAAAGAAAGAGTACAAAGAAATGCAGCAACAGCCTGCAAACCATGAACCCTCGGATTCACAGTATGAAAACGCTAACCACAAGGCCCATCAGTGAATGGAAAGTTATTTTGTTTGAAAAGAAAGAGTACAAAGAAATATCTATAACAAGAATTTCACCTCCAATCAGAAAAGGATAAAAGGATAATACATGAACAGGAAATTTCATCGCCATTCTCGAAAAAAAGATTATAACTATCCGGAAACGAGAAAAATATTGTCTTTCCGCATAAATGCTGTTCTGGTAGTCAGTAAACCGAAAGTTCGTTACTCTTGTTAGAAAATCTGAAAGAAATAATTACATTTGGAACACAGTCATCAAGAAATATTTATAGTAGGAACACAGACATCAATAAATAATTATAGTAAAGGCCTCGTCACCTTGATTAATTATAGTAAAATCACCAATAAATGATTATAGTTGGAAATGAGTCACCCTTTTAAGGAAGTTATAAATAAATAGTAAGTAAGTAAGAAAGTTCCATTTTACTTCTCAGAAACTGTAAGAAAAGAAATATGTCACCGGGAAAGTCATTCTCTCATCCCAGAAATGTTAAAAATAACAAGTAAGCGAGAAAATCCATTATCACATCTCAAAAATGCTAAAAGGTTATACGTAAACGGAAAAGTCCATTGTCACAAGTCAAAAATAGCCAAAAAATAAAATAAAGGGGAAAAATCTGTTGTTACAAGTCAGAAATATCCAAAAAATAAAATAAAGGGGAACAATCCATTGTCACATTTCAGAAATAGCCAACAAATAAAATAAAAGGGAAATATCTGTTGTCACATTTCAAAAATAGCTAACAAATAAAAGGGAACAATCCATTGTCACATTTCAGAAATGCTGAAAATGATATGTAAAGGGGAGTTTCATTGCCCCTTCTATAATACAAACGTAGGAACTGTTCGCTTTTTTTTAAATAGGGATACATCGAGTCTTTCAAATCTCTTCCATTGTTCAATAAGCTTGTATATTTAAATAAATATTCCTTAAGAAAATAATGTACTTACATCAATATATTGTGGCTTAGCGCCGTAACGTGCGTGTTTCTTGCCTAGATCTGTCAAAAGCTGATCCAGCTTTTCTTCTTCATTCAAACGTGTTATTACTTTCTGGACAACCCCCATCACCCGGAAAGCATGTGCTCTCAGCTCTCTACTGTAGCGAAGATCGTTTCCAGATAGTCCCTTGAAAGGCATAAAGACTTCCTGGACATCTGGATGGGTTTCAAACAAACTACCACAGAAGAAAAATAATTAGAGAGATTAAAGTTATAGATATGCAGATATACATATAAAATGGCGTAAACTAGGGGAAAATTCAATTTAGATTTGTTGGTTTCATGATTTCACGTAACGCAAACAAGGGCTACCTAATCATAGTTTTGAACTGATAAAGGGAAGATGGCATGTCAACAGCACCCATCGCCAACTTTGGGCTAATCCTATTTTTTCAAATAGTGGAATTTGACCGTAGAAATATATTTAAGTTACGAATTATGTTTTTGCAGCAACGAGACGCGAACCATGATCCAGATTCATAGCCTGGTCACGTTAACCATTAGGTCATGCCTGAGAGATTTTTACATTTTAATCAGGTACGAATATGTTAATTCGGATAATACTTTTCAAGGAAAAAGGCTATATTTTAGGGTAATTTACGGCAGGGTTTTTCAACTTTCGCACCTCAAGGCTCACTTATTTATGTGGCACAATATTAAATAACTCAAATATGCAGTTGATAACTCGTTAGTTTAGTTAGTTAGTTTGTTTGTTTTAAATTTCGCGCAAAGCTATACGAGAGATATCTGTGTTAACCGTCCCTAATTTAGCAGTAAAAGACTAGAGGGAAAGCAGCTAGTCATCACCACCCACCGCCAATTCTTGGGCTACTCTTTTACCAACGAATAAGGGGACTGACCGTCACATTATTAAAATTATCACGGCTGAAAGGGCGAGCATGTTTGATGGGACGGGGATTCGAACCCGTGACCCTCAGATTGCAAATCGTGCGCCCTAACCACCTGGCCGTGCTGGGCCCGTTAGTTTAGAGCAATCACAGTTGTCCCGTCCCGCGGCAGCCCATAACTATATGTTTACAGCCCACCAGTTGAGAATCATTGTTTTAAAGTACGCTATTTGAATTTTTGTTGCTTTTTTTCCGTTTTGCAGTTTGTTCTTGACAATATAAGTATACAGGGTGAACGAAATTACGATTATTGCTCGCACTAATGAATATTACTTCAATTTTATTGAAGGATAAAAAATTAAAACAGTTAATGATGTTTCTGCTTTGATTTTATCAAATTATTATACATATATGTTTAATAATCTTCAGACAGGAAGTTTGAGGGCTGTATAGAGTAAATGCACAGTTTTTAGGACTGTTCGAACCAGGCCTAGTGATTAGCGTGTCGGTTTATGAATCAGTAAGTCCAAGGTTTAAGCTGCAACACGCTTGACAGTTTCAGCTGTGTAGGATCTTAAAGCTGTGGCAATCAATCCGGCTGATCGGTTAAGAGTAGTAGAATTGGTGGCGAATGATGCTAACTGGTTGTTTTTCCTCTAGTCAATAATTCTAAATTATAGGTAGCTATATCTAAGCATCCAAGTGGCTCAGCTGTAAGCCAGAGGACTTATAATACTAAAAATTGGATTCTACCCCCGTGGGAGCACAGAACAGATAGCCAGTTGGGTAATTTTGTGCATAATAACAAACAACTAAGCTATAACTGAGCCTGAAGGGTTCTTGGTCTGGTCATTTATGCCCCCCTCAATTGCGAGGGAGGCGAACCAAAGGGCTTGACAGACTTAATAATTGCCGACAAGGGAATAGATATACCATTTAATTTGTTTGAACTGAAGGTCGGTGGCACTATTCTGTTAAGTTACTACAAATATAGGGAAACAGATGTAGAGGACTCAATTACTTTTTTGTAGTTATGCCATTGATAATGTCGTTCATTACCAATACCCTTATTCATAGTTCTAATAGGTGGCACAAAGTAAATATAATTATAGGAAGATAACACAAGAATGCCATTTATCTGAAAACGTAAAAGAGAATTTAAACCTTTTTTTAAAACCAGATTTATATCCAAGTTATAAACATTCACAAAAACATAATCTTCGTTAGCCAATAAAACATCCCTCTAAATGCAAGAGGAAAGGTAGATTAACTAAAGATTCAAAAGCTTATTTGTTATTTAAAAACCATAAAACGTGTCGGACATAGACGAGGATTAAAATGTAACGCATATCTGTGGTTACCGTCATGAAAATTTTCTGATAAGTTTACTAGTAAAAAACAACTACAACAAAAAAGACTTTTTCTCTGACAGCATATAAAATGATTTATACGTTTGGTTTAGCCGTAAAGTAAAACTGTAATTTACAAACTATCGGATTATAGTAACTTTGTACACTGAATATTGAAGTTGTGACTTCACTATTTATTCATTTAGATGACTTTGATTATATTCGACATTGTTTTATATATATATATAACGGAAAATAAAGGTTTTCGCTATATTCTTATCATTCATTTAATTAATCAAATTATTCAATGGTTCAAGTTACATTGTAACGTTATGGTCTTATAGTTTCCTAAAGTTATGGCCAGTATTTGTCTGGCTTTATCGGCGTCGAGGCGTATATCTTTTTCGTCTTCTGGCATATCGCGTGTCATGGTATTTATCTAAGATACAGTGGTAATAAAAAGAGAGTGAAACTACAATCTGACAGTGGATCTTAAACAAGTGGCTATAACTTACTATAAGTGAACTCAGAAGAAGTGCTTCGAAGCTCCAACATTCTGATGTATTGGTCTCTGAGTGTCAGCTGAGCTTCTGGGAAAACAATTCTACTTCGAAAGCAGACATACTGTTGACTGAGCGAGACCATTATTGCACTAAATCAGCCTTTGGACACAGCATCTAATCAGCAAATTGGCACGCTACCCAGCCATAAATAGAATAATATTATTCATTGTAACATAGTAATAACTCAACCTGCTGGGACAAGTAATTTCGAACTAATCTGTGCTGTTATGAAAAGGCATTCAATTGAACTGTTCTGTTATGTTGGTGAAAGAGACCGTATGATTCAGTGTATTTTGGGTTTATTTTCTGCAGAATGTCGTATATCTGTTCAGCGTTGTGTACAAGCTTTAGTGTTACTGTCTGCTTTTTGAAGTTTACACACTTTTGTGTACGGAAAAAATAATTTTTCCTTTCGTGTTAGGCCCGGCATGGCTAGGTGGTTAGGGCGCTCGACTCGCAATCTGCGGGTCGCGGGTTCGATTCTCCATCACACCAAACATGCATGCCCTTTCAGCCGTGTGGGGGCGTTATAATGTGACGGTCAATCCCATTATTCGTTGGTAAAAGAGTAGCCCAAGAGTTGGCGGTGAGTGGTGATGACTAGCTGCCTTCCCTCTAGTCTTAAACTGCTAAATTAGAGACGGCTAGCGCAGATAGCTCTCGTGTAGCTTTGCGCGGAATTCATAACAAACAAACAAACCTTTCGTGTTTACGGATCTCTGAAGGTTTGTGTTGTTAACATTTTTAGATAGCAAGCTAACTTTCTGTTGCTTAAACTGTCGTGGTGTTTGATCTAACACAAACAGAACTAGAGGGGCACTCAGTAGGGCGCATACCTCCGCCACGCGGCGTTGATCATATTCGACCCTAAAAAAAAACGAAAATGTGTCCGTATGTCTGTCGTTATCAACGAATACGGACCATTTTTCAGAGCAATGCGGAATAATATTCTACATATGTCCACCAAGTTTCATCAAAATCCGATCACTTTTGACTGAGTTATAGAGTAAAAATAATGAAAAATCGGTTCCAATGTTAACAGATTCGGATTTTTTGGATATTCGGGATCTTGCTGTGACCTTGACCATCCAAAAACGAATCATTTCTAAGTTGGGTCATAGTCCAAATGTATACTATCTTTCTTCCAAATCCATTTAGTCGTTTTCGAGAAAGGCTGCTGACAAACACACACTTACACAAACCACAGGAGTGAAAACAGTGGTGGAGGTAAAAATATAATGACGTTATATTATATAGTTCCTCTCCTCATCAACGGGCAAAACTGTTTACAGCAATATGCAAAATTTATTTTCTCACATAAGGCTACTGAAGACGTATAAATTAATGAGCGTTTCTGTTTAATGATTGTTTCTTTAAAATTCTATTAGATAATTATGTCTGTTTGCGAAGACAGCAGGTTTGCACATGTGTGTCGAGAAAGTCATATTTTTATGCACATATCCCGCTTTGATTGTCAGAGGTCGCAAACTTCTTCGTGTTCCTACATTTGGCGTTGTGAAACATAGGTGTTTAGCCGTAAAACAGAAAGGTTTAACTTAGTGTTGTAGAACAGATATTATTAACCAGGTGTTGTAGAACGCGTGTTTAACTTCTTGGTGTAGTAGAACATAGATGTTTAACTTGGTGTTGTAAAACACAACTGTTTGTGCTCCGCGAATTAAAGAAACGCCTGTATTAAAAGGGAATAAAAGCCGAAATCTTACTTCATGAACGTGATGACTCCTACACGGGAAATGTTCTCCACTAGAAGTTTCGAAGTATTGGTCAAAATAGCTCTTTGGTTTCTGGTGAGGGTCGGCCGCTCTGGAGGATCTGTCACTTCACAGGACACTGTACAACTATGCCGCTGAAGAAGACCGTTTCCTTTATTCTTCTTTTTGGAAGAAACGGCTTTGGTAAGCCTACATCCCATGCTGAAATGGTTTTTCATAGTAATACAAACACATACACACACACACACATATATATATATCTTATAAATAGAAAAACATTAAGATTTCAAAATTTAAAAGATCTATAACTCCAAACAAACATTTAGTATTTATCAATCTGAAATACTAAGGTGCTATAGGATCTTTACTTTAGAACTTCCACGTATTAAAAACTTGAAATTTTTAAACAACAGTGAATTTTATTTTCTGAATGTTATAGCTGCTATAGACTTCGTCCCCTGGTGGAACAGCATTAAGTCTACGGACTTACAACGCTAAAATCCAGGGTTCAATTCTCTGTATTGTACACAGCAGTTAGCCCAATGTGGCTTTGTTCTAAAAGAAGCAAACAAACAAAACTATAAACTTTTGAAATGTTTGGGGAACTATAATACTTGATTTAAATCTTAAACTATGGCATCAAAAATTTGAACTTCATATTTTTGGGAAAAACAAAATCTTAATTTGGTCGATTCATTTTAGGTGTCAGGTGATAATTATTGATGGCATAACCGTTTTTAACCAAATATCGAGAGTTATAATACAGTTCTATCATAAGACTAGATGGAAAGTCATCTGTTAGATGTTACAACTTCTAATAAACATTAAGTAAAAATAAAATAAAATGAAATTTAGAGAATTTACTAATAAAATACAAAACCACAAGGCTAACCACGGTAGCCATTTCTAATTTTGAACTGATAGACCAGAGGGAAAGCAACAGTTATATAGAAAAGCATTCAGTCTGCAAAACAGGGTAAGTTAAATACATTGTTCATTTTACTTACAAATTGTTTGGTACTTGTATTTATTCTTCGAGACTGTCATTAACACTAATATTTAGCCAAAGAACAACTATTTAAATACTAAATAAATATTCTAAAATACTTCAAACTACTCAAAGACAACGGAATACATCTTAATGTTGCCCCGTACCTGAGATGACATCTTAATATCGTCACCCAGCTAGAAGTATATCTTAATGTGGCCCTCTAGTTAAGATTTACACTGTTTATTAGCTAGAACTTAGAAAAAGCAATATATATATATATATATATTATAGTAAAAAATAATAAAAGAAATTAACAAAACAAATGTCATATTTAATTTTCAAATGGAAATACGTATCCATTTTTTTTTTGTCTCAAACGTAGTAACAAAGTACATTTTTAAGTCCACTTAAATTTGAATAGCAGCTTTGGTGATAGAACAGATAGAAATAATAAAAATATTAAGTTTTAATGTCGTCCTGTAGCTAAGACTATCTTATTGTAGTCCTTCAGACAATATTACATCTTAACGTCGTCCCCTAGCTATGATTACGTCTTAACATCGGCACACATATAGGAGTATATCTTAATGTAGTCCTCCAGATCAAGTTAAGTCTTATTGTTGTCCCCTACCTAAGATTACGCCTTAATATCGTCATACAGATAGCAGTATATCTTAATGTTGTCCTCCATTTAAGATTACATCTTAATATCGTTCCGTAGCTAGGACTACGTCTTAATATCGTCATTCAGTAGGGAGTATATCTTAATGTAGTCCTTCAGTTAAGATTACATCTTAATATTGTTGTGCTTTCAGATTTTCAGAAGAAGAACGCAACATCAGAATATTATAGGGGGGGGGGAAGCGATTGCTATCACAATGACTTACGTTTGGAAGCGAATTTGTTAACACTAATTATATGTAAACGCTAAAATTTCAAGTTAATGAGAGTTAAGTGAATTTAAATTTTCAGTTTCTGCATAAAAGAAACGTGAATGAAAAAATGTTTATAATTAAACATTTTATTTATTCGTGGATTGGGAGGAGGGTCAAGAGTGCCCTGTAGCACACGCATCTGCTACCTCAAAACGTATCTGTGCAGACAAACGGTCAGTGAGCGGCGAGGCTTTCCCTGCATCATATACATATATTATAGTTTTATATAAGTCTAGAGATATCACGTAGTGAACCATTTTTTCTTACCCCTTTCTTTGAAACACAAGCCATTTTTTAATTATTCTAAAAATGTTGGAGGATATGTCCCGCCTGTTCCTACTCCACTATCTACTAAATACAGAGACTACAGTTCCTATCGTTATATGTAACGATTTAAGGTAAGAATTAAGCCTATGTAAATTGCACTGCTGAAATCGTGCTTTGTCAGCCACAGAGAGAGTTTTAAGTCATAACTTTGATCTGTTATTGTCAACTAAATTGGTTTTAATTGTTACACAGCAAAGAAAAGGCATAAAGTTGTACAATACGAAATAATATGGTAAAATCAGTACTATCTAAGTTAAGGAGAATAATAATGAAACTTTACAATAATTTTTGCGTATGTTTAGACTTACTCTTCGACGGAACCACAGGTACTTGTACTTACCTCGACAGAACCACAGGTACTTGTACTTACCTGTACCAAATATTCTACGTTGGAACAACAACAGAATAAAAATTTAACCTTTAATATAAGCCTTTTCTTCTGGAACAAAGAAGGGATCAGAGCTACCATCCAATGTGCCACTTTAAATGTCAGGAAAACGACTTTTTTTTTGACAATTAAAGTTGTGTTTAATAATTTTTAAGCAGAATATTGATCCTGCAAAAGATCTGTCGTATTACCGTGGTATGCAAAGAACATTTCTTTTCCATTCGCGCCAATTATCAGAGCGAGATTTATTATAAGCTTATTAATAAGATATCCAACAAACGAGAGTTACAATGTTAACGAAATTGTGATTTAACAAAATCCAAAGCTAAAGCTTTTGAAATACACTGCTGTTCGTATATCATTTACATCATTAGAAAATTTCTACCACCCACAACAATGACGTCGCTAAGTCACAGGTTTGTTTGAAAACTCAACGCGCTGAAGCCTTATTCAACTGGTAACAGAACAGCAGGTTTTACTAAAAGAATGACGTAAATAAAGTTACGAGCTACGTGTGACACAAGGAGATGGCTCTTCAAAAAAAAAAATCGATTTCCTACACTAAATTGCGGACGTTCCGTTGAAGAATATTTGAATAGGTTGAAACATGGGTAAATTACTTTCTCTCGAGCTGAAGCCACCTTTACAGGTTCTGAAAATGAACGGATCATTACTTAGGGATATATACAACGTCAAACTGACGTCAGTATCAGTGCGAACGCTCCAGCAGTTTAGTGCCCTCTTGCAGGAACTCTAATACTTACAGATTCAAATATTCTGGGTAGAATTGTAAATACCAGTGTGAATTATATTAAAATTTTATTATTACTACCCTTACTTACCGTGTGCTTTTGATGTCATTATTTGTCAAATATAATTCCTTTGACAAAAAATGGAAAATAGGGGAAGACAAGAAACGTTGCACATTGTGATATTTTGTTCATATTAAGCTGCCTTGTTTTATGGAAAAAATATATTAAAAAATTAGTAGACTATAATAATGATTTTTATTCATCTTTTAAAATGGTTTCTTTTATGTTATCTATCTGAGCTTTATATCTTCAATAATAGCACAGCGGTTACTGTTAAATGAATGTCTCTTAGCTACTTTTTTTGTACATGCTCCACCAGATCTTCAATAATAGAACAGCGGTTACTGTTAAAAGAATGTCTCTTAGCTACTTTTTTGTACATGCTCCACCAGTTACTGAGAAAGCCAATCTGATATAAACAACCAAAAGATTCTATTTGAACTTTCAATCGTTAACAAAACTTTCTCTAGATGGCGCGTAAGTGCAAATGCTTAAAACAAAAAATATTTTTCCTTTCTACCAGAGATAAACTAGAAACTAGATGATTCTTTTACTCTAACTTGGCTATTTTTGACAATTAGTGTTTTGGTTAGATGTGATTACTGTTTGTTTTAAGGTTTGATTTTAATTATGAAGTATTGATTATTTTTACATAAAATTTGTTTTCATCAAATTATGGATTTATTTCATCGGCTGATATAAGGTAATATGCCCATGTAGTAAGTACTCCATTGTTTACTGTATGCTTACTATATTATAGGAGTATATTAATGACTTCTGTATAACCTAAGATATTACAGTAAGTCGTATTCTCTAGTTCAGATTAGTCTATATAAGGTAATATGTCCATATAGTAAGTACTCCATTGTTTACTGTATGTTTTGCCTTCTAAACATGCATTTTAAAATTAAATAGATCTATGTGTATGAGTGTAATGTATATTATTCAACTATTTTTTGCGATATTTTATTGGTGAATATCTATCTATTCCACATTCACTTTAAAGTATTTTAAAAGTTCTTTAACCAAGCATCTATAGTAAACACATTTTTTACTGGGCAAAGTGGATAAAACTAAATATTTTTAAGTGTTGTTATCTTTAAAGAAAAACTCTTTCCTCCACTGTACTTATCAGTAAAAATCAAAACACTCCCACAGAGGATGTGAAAAGTATTAACTGCTTAACAGAACCACTTTAAACACGATATGAGGGTACATTACATAGACAAAATTAAATTATTTCAAAATATTGCACAGTATTTCGTTTTTTGGGTTATAGATATTGACTTTATAAACTTCTGAAAAATAGCTTGGCTTAATTTGCAATTTTTTTATAGTTTCTTTTATTGACTTCTACCATATAATTTTATGTACACAGGATTACATTGTCTTCAAACATTACTCGTGCTTAAAAAACTAGCAAGCAAATAAGCTATATATATATATATACCTCTATTAGTTTAGGTTATTCAATTTCATATATTAATAAATCCAATTTGTATTTATTAATACGAAAACTTAAACTTAATGCAAAAAAGTTTACTCAGTTAAAAAATAATAAAAAACGTGCTTACATTTCTAATGAAAATAAACAAATTGAAAACAGAAAGAGAAAGAAGAGAGCAAATTTCACCTTCCCTCATATGTAAAACTGACCCTGGAAAACTAAAAAAACACGTTGTAAAGTCATACTGTTCCTGTTGAAGCCTCCGTTTAGAGTTTGTGTGAGTTTATTAACTTGTACTTAGCGTCTCAGTACATACTGTGAACCTTGAAATTACGTAAGGCAAAACGAAGTTGATCGTCATATTGTTAACAATAACCATTTCAACTCCATTCAGCAAGTTGAAACATGCACGTTTGTCATTCATAGTTACGTTACACCAATAGTTGCTTTTGAGTTGTATTTCTTTAACACTTCCAACGTCTGTCGTGTTTTAAATAAATATGCATGTTTCGTAATATAGGAAATCAAGTACATCAAGTTTACTGCGACAAAAGGAACAACGCGCACGAATCGGAGGAAGTCACAGTGCGCGTTAGATGAAGCATAAGGCAGGCTTCAGGATGAAAAGAAAATACAAATAAACGATGCTACTTTCGGATATAGTACGTGGAAAACGTAAGATTTCGGATGAGGGTTTCTGTACACCACCTGTAGGCTAGGTTTAGTTCATATATTACATCTTTTAGAAAAAAAGAAGATAAATTATGCATTGGTAATCTTGGTTTTAGGACATGGCAGTCTTGGAAATACAGTCTTTTTTGTGGATATTATAACACACATCATTCCTAAGTATTGCAAGTACAATAATAAAATTTTAAAATTTTGTTATGACAAAAAAAAGATCCATATATACGTAACCTAGTTAGCTATAGTAATATAGAAAGTTTGTAATGCCACAAAAAATATGGAAACAAGAAAGTCAAAGTACAAAACTTAGTTACTTAAAATTAAATAAAAATTATCCCTACTTTGGCAAATCACTGTAATTATGTTAGTCTGAGCCAATGTAGGGATACAAATTGTTAAATTCTAAGTAACTCAGTTTTCGTAGTTTTGACTTTGTTGTTTCAATACTTTTTTAAAAAAATACTGTTTTAAAACTTTCTATATTACTATAGCTAGCTAGGTTACGTATATATCGATCTCTTCTTGACTTTATAAGATTTAAGAATTTTTTATTGTGCTTGTTTGTTTCCTTTTTATTAGCTAGTAGCGCATCGTCCGTTATATATATATATATATATATGTATGTATACTAGTATCCTTTTCGGTACAAGAAAGGAATCATTGGGACCCCAGACGGGAGAGTTCTGTGAAAGAATTAGAGCGATAAGGTTCGTCATTTTTTCTGTACACTTGTCTGAAAATATTACTTACTTACTTAGAGAACTCCAGTGGCACAGCGGTATGTCTGCGGACTTACAACGCTAGAAACCCGGTTTTGATACGTGTGGTGGGCAGATCACAGATAGCCCATTGAGTAGCTTTGTGCTTAACTCCAAACAACAACAACAACGACTATTTACTTAGATGAAATTTCGTTGAAATAGTGAATTTCGGCTCACTCCATAAACACATATATATAACGATTTAGAAGACTAAACAAGCACAAAATGCTTTAGTTTTGCTCAGCCAATACTGTGAAATAGTCAATGTTGATATTTAGACATTTTAAAAGCTGTTTTAAATGGGCGATTTTTATGGTCGCCATTTTGTTTCATCACGATCCCTACTATTAAGTACTATCGTACTTAATGATGTTTAATCCAGTTCGCGACAAGCTCACTAATGATATTAAAGCATGCAACTATCATAGTGTTTTAGTAACTTAGCCAAGAAAATTCTCGTTTATACAACTACACAAAATGATGGTAATACTGTTTTTTTTTTACGATGTACAAATTTTCTTGTTTACTTCTTGTCTTCTTAGTTTAATTAATTTTATATAAAGGAATCAATGTTTTAAATTTTGTGAAACTGTTTTACATCATCGTAGAAGAAGTGTTTTTCTATGTAAAGGTGATTTATTTTGCAATGATGGTTTACTTATATCATAACCAATGTTTTGTTCTTTTAGTTTTATTAACTAAATTCAGTAACGATTGATTTCAAGATTAGCATGTTTGTTTTCACATAGCCACAGGAAAGACGTGTATAAAACTAGCCCAATAAGAGTTTTACACCAAAAATTTGTACTTTCAGAAAACATATAAAGTTATTTTTATATCTTCTAGTTTGATAATATAGTGTGTTGTGTTAAATTAATGGATATAAAAGAGTTTGGTATTAAAATACGTGTCAGCACTGATAGAAATAATGTTGACGAATGTTTGTATGTGTTAAAATTTCATCATTTGGATGCCCTGTATAATACAAACACTTCTTTCAGAACTAGGTTCAGATTTCTCTGGACAGACCACAGTGAGTCTGAGCATCTTCAGTAGAATTAAAGAAAGGAAGAATTCATTTGACATGTAATCCTTTTAAAATGTGGGGAGTGTTATTTGAAGTTCCAACATGAAACTGTTTTCAAACTATGATTTGGATAGCAGACAAACATGAAAAGTGCTTTACAATGCTGTTTACTTTTGAATTAATTCTAATTCATTAGTTTGCAAATTACTAATTTATGCATGCGTTTTACAACATTGAAATTACTAGAAGCTATGCAGATTAACATCACGTACTTAATCTCGTTCACGCATCATTAACCACTGTGTTAATGTAGCTAGCTGGTCACACTTGCACGTGGCTGACATAAACGTAGTCTGCACGTATCAGGGGCAGTAATTGTTGTTATTGTAGCAAACTATAAACAATAGCAATTTGAACATATCACAACATCAAAAAATTCACCATTAAAAACGGTCTAACATGAGCATGTCCATCCATCCACCTGTTTACTTTTCTTTAATTCAATGTCAAGTAAGAAAACACCACACGTTACATATCATGGCTAATTACAAGATAAAAAAATAAAGGATGTTATAAGTGGAGTTATAGTTTATTTTTCCTGCATAATGATATTCATTCAGTAGCTTTAAACATTCATTTTAATTTGTTTTTTCTCGAAACCATAACTTTCTAAAAACTGTCCATTTAAAAAGTATTTTGAATTATATCTTATAATATAATATTTCGTGGATTATTTTCTTCAATAGTGATATATATAACCGTGAAAACAAAAGATCTCAACATGTGTTTTAGTTTAAATAGGAAACTGCATTACTGAAGCCCCCCCAGTGGCACATCGGTATGTCTGCGGACTTACAACGCTAGAAACCGGGTTTCGATACCCATGGTTGGCAGAGCACAGATAGCC